CATAAGAGGGAATGCCGTACTTTACAGGAAGAGAGTCAATATGAACTTGCTCCGTCTTAGAGAATACGGGGTCCTGAGTAGGAGGGGGATCTTTGAGAAAGTCACTTCGAGATAAGGGATGCTTCGGTAGTAGCTCCTCCACCGAAGGAAGGCTGTCACCCTCTTCTACCATCGTATCTTCACTGCCAGAAGTGGGCGCCGTGGACAATGGGGTGGCCTCAGGAACCTCATCATAAGAATGACGAGACCTCGGCATAGTATTGTCCAAAAGGGTATCAACACAAAAAGTAGGAGGTGGAAGAAGCTTCGAGTGAAGAACGTAAGAAGAAGCAGAAGGGTACGAGGGCAAGCTTGAAAGAATGAAGGAGATTATCAGGAGTGGAATGGCCAAAAACTTTCAAAAAAAAACAAACCCTTCACCTATTTATAGGGTTGGGTGGCGCCAAAATCGAAGCGGAAAGTCACAAAGTAGCGCTTAAACCGGAGCATCAAGCCATCAACTCTTGCCTTGAAAACATGCGTGATAATGACGCACGTGAAGATGACATCATTTCCCGGTAAAGCATATTACCTAGTGTCTTGCTAAGCACACTAGCATTCCTTCATTGGCCATTTCGTAACGTCACAACGGCTCAAATTTCTCCATAGGAACGCATGGTGTTCGCTCATCGAGGACGCACCCAGTTGCGACCTCGACAAGCGGAGGGACTAACTATATGGGTCCAAATTTGACCGACCATGACCGACAACGAGTAGGACGATTGATGGAGCCTCCTTGAATTGACGTCCTGAGGGAGACGACCCTAAGACAAACCATAGATTGGACGACCCTTGAAATAATGTGTCACCATTAGGGGACATTGGGAATATCCCTTCAAATATTCCTTTTATTTTGTCTTTTACAGTTTAGAAGAATTTCTCTCTTAGTATAAAAGGAGGACAATAACCTTGTAACCGGAATGAAACATTACTATTTATGAATGAAAAGAAACCTCATGACCCGTCTTCTCTTTATCTATCACTCTTTCTAGAGATTATTATTCTCATCTAGGATGTACCCATTCATCTTTAATTGATTTGTTCAAAAAGGTTTCAATATATTTTGAGTCAAACAGTTCCCTTTCCGAATCCCCAACACAAGAATTCCCAAATATACCAGAGCATCGAGTTGGAGGGCCATTCCCATCTCTATAGCCGCTAGTGGCCACGAAGTTAGGATCATTCATCGTTACCCAGTATTTAACTCTATCTCCGAAGTAATTGAAGCATATGTTTGCGAAATAGCTGAAATCATCCCTGAGACAAAACCCATGCAACACGAATGTAACTTATTAACATATATGTTAGATGTTGAGAATGTGTTAGATGTTGTATATCAAAGCGATATCTCCAGTGTTCACCAAATAGTGAACGAACTTTTAGAAAATGATTTGGAACATGCTAAACACATATTGGAAGAATTTGATATAAATGAAGTAACAATTATAGAAAATGAGGAAGAAGAATCAACTGATGAAGCTCAAACTAGTAAGGAAGAAGAATTCTCGGACAAGAACAATATGTTGATGAGCTTTAAAAAGTTGGTTTTTTAATAACTCTCATTTTATAGCTAGTTTCTTATATGATTCAATCTAAATATGTATTTTATTATGTAGATGACAGGCAAGGGTCGAGGTAACAATGACCCTATTGGTTCTCAGGGTCGAGAAAAGGCTAGGAAGGGAAGGAGGAGGGTAGAAGATAATACTCTATCTTTTCCACCCTCTTCAGAGATGCTTATGCATATGCCTATGTCTTATCCTCCACCCCAGGGCTATTATGAGCTACCACAGCATCACGAGCCCTACACCTTCATACAGACACTGTGTCTTTCATCATAGGGCCATAGGACTATACGTCCGGCATACAGTCCAGCTGCCTCACGCCCACGTGGATCGCAGCCATCTGCATCGCATGGATCGCATCCATCCATGTCACATCCACATGGTTCACATCCATCCGTGTCACAGCCACTCGGGTTACAGACATCAGTATCACAGCCATCAGTATCACAACCACTTGCGGTCCATCAAGCTATGTCACAGTCACAAGGATCGCATCCATCTTCATCAGTGACTCCATCTATTTCAGGCCTTCGCCTGCGAGATAGTAGCTCTGAACCACCTACACCTTCCACACATGCCTCTGATATACATGCTTCGGATGGTGCTGATGATGACGAGGAGGTGCATTATGATCAATATGGCAGGATCATCATAGTCCCTGAGGGTGATGGGTAGGAGTTATTTGTTATTTTTACGTTTATTGTTTTGTACAGTTTGTACTAAGATATTAATGTAATTTTTTGTTAAATTGCAGGTTCATCCCGAGTAATATTACTACGAGGATAATCACCAAAGCCACCAGAAAGCTTTATGATGGCCCTTATGCGACTTGGAGTGAATTCCCATTCTCGTTGAAGGAGCAAATTTTCAATCAATTTAAGGTACAAATGTTCTTTTAAGCAGTATAATTATTTATGTTTATGATATTTCTATATAATATTTAACTTTTGAAATACAGAGCAAGTGTGTATGGGAACACCGCTATAGCGCGAAAGTGGCTGCAAATTTTCATCAAAAAGCTCGCAAGTGGTTGTCGCATAGTTTCTCCAAAGCTAGAAAGTTGAACCGAAATCCTGACTGGTTGCTTCAGAATTTATAGGAGGATTTGCAAAGGCAATGGCTTACCGCAAAGTTCTTAGAGAAGAGCGAAAAAGAAAAGAAAGCTCGCGCATCTGAGAAGGGAGGCTCCTTGCATACTGGAGGTGCGATCAGCCTAGGGACAATAAAAAGAAGATTGGTACCTAATTGCTTAATTTATTTTAATTTTCAAAGTATATCTATTTTGTTTATTAACTAAAATGTATGAGTTTTCAGGAAGAGAAGTTGGGGCATCCAATGAACCAAGATGAGCTATTCATGGAGACTTATATTGTAAAGAAGAAGAAAGAGACGGATCAAGAAAGGTGGGTCGAGGGCCGAGCCTCGGCTGTACATGTAAGTTTTTACTTTTGATTAAGTATTTTGATTTACTTTTATATAAATTTTGAAATACTAATTCAATGTAATTTTTCTTATAGGGTCGCTTCACAGCTGACGTGGAGAAATTCATACGCAGTCAGCCACCTAATGAGTCGGGCGAGCCAATCCAACCTTTGGACGAAGATGCTGAAAGAATGTGGATGGGGGCTGCTGACGGTCCAAAATGGGGGAGGGTATATGGGCTTCCTACTAAGAAATTCCATCGTTATAAGCGTGGAATGCAAGGAATAGGGACTTCCTCGCAAGACGAGCAAGTTTATGGGGAGAGCCTCTCCGCTATGCGCGAGACTGTGACAAAGCTCACATCCGAGCTAGAAGCAGCCAAGGAAAGAGAAAAGCTTAGAGATGCTCAGTACATTGGCATGCAAGCTCAACACCATGGCATGCAAGAGCAGCTCAAATCTCTCCTAGCTTCTGGAGGTTTTCCAATTCCCCGGTCTCGTGAGTCATCGCCAGAGGCTGGGCATGAACGTGAGCGTTCCTTCCGTCCTACCCGTGATCATTCCTCCCATCCTCCCCGTGATCATTCTTCCCGTCCTCGACAAGTAGACCCTTCTGTATACAGTCTTATTGATGAAAGTTCATCAAAAGGTAATGATAATGATGTTGTACAAAACACTCCTTGACATTTATATACTTTGAACTAGACAAATAGAATCGGTTTTAAACTAGGTGTAATAAGCATTAACTTAGTTTTGTTAGTTTAATTTGTTAGTTCTATTGAACTTTAATTTGTTGGTTTTAATGTGTTTTTTGAATTGTGTTGTTGTTGTTGTTGTGGAGATTTTGGTATTGAAATTGTAGTTTATGAATTGAATTATATTATTATTTAGGGATTTTGGTATGCTGGCAGGTGGTGTAGCTGCCAAAACAGGCATTTTATGCCAAAATTATTACCCAGAAAAGTGACCAAAGTTGGTCGATTACCCATTCAAAAAAAATCTAGAAATTAGCGACCAAGGTTGGTCGCTTATATCTAAAAAAAATAAAAAGTTGAAAATTGGCGACCAAGGTTGGCCGCTAATGAACCCAGATTTTATTAAAAAAAATATCCTGGGAATTAGCGACCAAGGTTGGTCGCTTAAGTATAAGAAAATNATATATATATTTTAAATAATATATTTTAATTTACACACCAACGTTGGTCGATAATTTTTGATATATAACAATTTAAAAAATATAGTAATTTAAATGTACAGACCAACTTTGGTCGCTAAATTTATATTATTAAAATATTATACCGATCAAAGTTGGTCGGTATTTTGTTTACAGTGAACATTTGGTCATTTTTCTTTAGCGACCAACTTTGGTCGCTAAGGTAAAGGGACCACCAATATAACTACCAAGCCTGTTTGGACGCATTTTGATCGGTATATTGAGATAAGCGACCACCGTTGATCGCTATATGTGGTCGCGTTTTACCAAATTTCTAGTAGTGCATGTAATCTGTTACAGGTACATGTTAGTTGCATATAGAGCATAGTCCATCCCATTCAGACTTAAGGTATGACACATTTTTTCCATCAATACTTAGTTCGATCATTTATTTTCTTATAATCTATTTCTATGGCAATATTTTGGCTGATATTGGAGCAACAACTTTTTGAGATAGCAGGCAAACCTTGGAGGGAGTCGCATCCACGAGTTTGTTATTATGGTCTATATTTCATGAATATAACGTTTCCATCCCATATGCTTAAGTATTAATCATGATACTTAAGTTGGTAGAATTCTGGAAAACGGCAGAAGTTTACACCCATTTGGTAGAATTCTGGAACATTAAGTTGACCTGTCAGAAGAAAGGGGAACTAATGGACAAAATTCAGCTTTCAACAGAATATTTCTACTTATACAATAAATCTTCATTACGTTATTAGAGTGAATAAAAAGATTAGGCTTGGCCTTATTTGTGGAATATAAAGGAAGGGATTAGGCTGAACAATTATAGTATGATTGCCCAGTAATTGCTTTCCAACAACAGAGACCTAAATAAAAATCTTCAACAAGTCTCCACATATACATCCTCTTATTACGCTATTTCAGGGCAGTATGTGTTTCAAGCTCTATGTGAAAGTTATACATGAGCTCTTGATACTTGGTGGCTGATAATTTTGGAGTTCTCTGGAGATTAGTATAGTTGACATAGTAAAGTCCAAATCTTATGCTATATCCATCTAGCCACTCAAAGTTGTCAAGAAGGGACCAAACAAAGTATCCCCTTACATCTGCACCTTTCCTGATGGCATTTGCCAATGAATTTAAGTTGCTATGCAAGTATTTCACTCTACGAACATCGTTCAAGGCATCCTCTATAGAAGAACTGTTCCCAGCAAAGCCTGCAACATTGCCAGTTATATTAGCAGTTGTATCCGCCGGTGGATCAAATTGCATCTTGCTCAAGTAATTAGTTGATGAAATGTATCTCAGTCTAAAGGACAAGAAAGTGTAATATTTTTCTTACCATTTTCAGTGATAAACATTGGAGTATTGTTGAATTTGTCCTTCAAATACATCACAACTTTTTCAATCCCTTGTGGGTACACAAATTGCCAGTCCACTTCCCCCTGATTTATTAAAAAAAATCCTTAAAAAATTAATTTAGCAGTGTAGAAAGTGCAAGTAATAATTTGCAGAAAAAGATTAAAGATAAGAATACTGATGTGATTTAAGGAAACATACTGGTTCACCAATGTAGATGCCGTCTCTTTGTGTAGTCCTAAAATAAGAACCCTCTGACCAAGAGTTTCCATGTTCACAGGCAGAATATAAGCAATCTTTGATATAGACAGCCGAATAATGATTGATTCCAATGAAATCTAGGCCATAACTCAACTTGCTCAAATCATTCATTGATAATTCCGGAAGATTAGATCCCAAAATTTGTACCATTTCTTTAGGATATCTTCCTAATATAATAGGGTCTAAAAACCTGCATGTGGGTAGTTAGTAAAAAATATTCTTTTACTCTCTTTCCGATGCATAAATATTAGTATATAGAAGGCTTACCAACTGTCATAGAATGATCGAGCTCTATGAGTTGCAGCTATGTCTTCTGAGGAATTGCTTAACGGTTCAAACCATTCAAAACCCATAGTAATGCCAATCATGCCTCCTTGACTTTTCTGAAAAGCAGCAGAAATATACAATTTTCCTATTTTACTTCACCAAAAATAGTTACAGACTCGTGATGATATCTTGCTTTACCTAGTGTTCCCTTTCCTTTCTATAGACAAGTCAATCTATGTTGCGCGGACTCTCCAAAATGCGGCTGCACCCGTGTCGAATTTTTCAAAGATACACTACTTTTGGAGGATCCGGCACGCACACGGTATTATTTTCGAAGAGTCCGAACAACATAAAGACCAACAATAGCATTGCACTAGAAGAGTAATTACTGTTTGAAAAAGTTGCGTCCCAGATCATGCCATGTTGAGAATTGACATGATAATGGAGAAAAGGGAAAGAGCCGTCGAAAAAACCTGATATCTGGTGCGGTAAATGCTGACAGCATTTGCATGAGATAGGATCATATTGTGAGCTGCAATGAAGGGTTCCCTTTCTGAATCCCCAGCACTACAATTCCCAAATATACCAGAGCATCGAGTTGGAGGGTAAGTCCCATCTCTATAGCCAGCTATGGCCATAAAGTTAGCCTCATTCATCGTTACCCAGTATTTAACTCTATCTCCGAAGTATTTGAAGCATATGTTTGCGAAATAGCTGAAATCATCCCTGAGACAAAACCCATGCAACACGAATGTAACTTGTTCATCATTTTGGATTTTGATAGAATCTACAACTAGCTTTAAGTATAAGAGGGGCCCAACTACTTATGGTAAATTAAAGTCCCGTAAGATATGGACAATTCTTTGGACTAAATAAAATCTTAACGATGTGATTAAAGCGAGCATGAGGTCCACAAGTTATGAGTTCATTGAGACGTGTGAGCGTATTTATAGTACTCCGCTAGTTAGAAGTAGTTGTCAGTGATATAGTGTGGCAAAGAAGTTAAAAATCGAGTTAATTAATGACTCTAATAATGAGTTAATATATACCTTGACATGGCGACCTTGTAAATTACTGGAGTAATCAAATGGAATGGGATATGGATGGCTTGTAACCAATTGTGAACCTAAATGGAGTAAGTTAGAAATTGTTATAACAAGTATTGATATGGTTTGATACAAACTAACATGTTGGTTGATTTAATTGGACGTGCTTGACGTCATTTAAGTATTTGGAGTGTGAGGTAGATGTAAGTTGAGATGTATGTCCCTTTAAGGCATTTTTTTTTTTGAAAAATACATATTTCCTAAGATATACGTAGAAAATGTTTAGAAATGTTTATAACGTAGAATGCATGCTCTTGTAAATGTTTTAAGATATGTAGAATGCATGTTCATGTCATGGATAGATGTTCAGTTGTTTCACTTGATACATAGTTTAAAGCATTGGGCTCCTATAAAATTGTGTTGTGACACTTACCGTATTTGTGAACTTAGCCAACCACCATATCTGTCCTGAAGTTCTTGTGGTATGTCAAAATGTGTTAATGTGACAAACGGTTGGATCCCTGAAGCCATAGCAAATAACGAATTCGTCTGAGCTCAAAATTTTACTTCTTTTCTACATTTTGGATTATCTAAAGCATAAAACTGCTAGCAAGAGAAGCAGAATTGACCTTTCTGTAGGAGTGCATCAATGAGCTTACTGTAGAACTCAATTCCGGCAATATTAACTTCTCCAAATATCCCCTCTGAATAAAATTATAACCAACCAAAAAAAAAAGAAAAAGAGATTCTCATTGTAAACGACAATTAGGAGATTATTTTTTTAAGATGAGGAAGGGGAGCATTGCCGTAGCCGGTAAAGTTGTCTATATGTGACCAGGAGGTTACGAGTTCGAGCCGTGGAAATAGCCTCTTGCAGAAATGCTAGGTAAGGCTGCATACAATAGACTCTTATGGTCATGCCCTTCCCCGGACCCGCGCATAGCAGGAGCTTAGTGCATCAGGCTGCCTTATTTGCTTAAGATGAAGGAAAGAGAGCAGTGATAGTTATAACTTACTAGGCAGAATTCTTGCCCATGAGATAGAGAAACGATAGCTATTCACCCCTATATCTGCCATGAGTTTGATGTCCTCCTGTTTACATTTTAATACCAAACAGATCAAAACTCTTCCATTTCATGATTTACGCGTTTATATTATTGCTAATACACGGCATTAGTCTAAGCAGCTTTGAAATTAACAACAAATGCACATGTTCTTATCTGCTTTCATATGATGCTGATCAGTTTTGGCCCATAAAATGAAACCAATGTGAGTTTTAAATCCTAATTACAAAGAAGAATCTAACTTTTTTCGCCCTTTTGTGTCAACATGCATATGCATGTATGCCTTCTGTCCAGCACAATTAGGCTGTTCACTTTTCTTATGCATGAACAAATTAAGTTTGATCTCCTAATAAAGCCACAAATTGTTCAATCATAAGTACCTCCTATCTAGTTTATTGTTGTGTGAGCAGTATTATATTTCATAATACCATGAAAACGTTTTGAGTGAGTTTCAGTAAGCAAAAATTATTTAGCAAAAACCATCTAATTAATCTCAACGTCCCTCACTTTAGATTCATATCAACTGGTCTGCAGGCATATATATATATATATATATATATATATATATATATATATATATATATATATATATATATATAATTCTCTCTTTTTCAAGCTTATCGTTCTTTTTTCATTCACTTTTTGCCGTCCCTACTAATGGCGGACCTAGGATTTTGTACAAGTGAGTTCAGGCAAAAACAAGGTAGCCAATTGTATAATCCGCTCCTATAAACAAAATTTGCTCATTGCTTTTTTTTTTTTTCCACGTACTCTCAAGAGCCAAAATGAAGTCATTTTAAATTCATGCTATTTTTTTAAAAAACAAAGTTGGGGAATGTTTCTTTAAAAAAATTACAAATTTTCTTCTTAGTACAATATATATATATATATAAAGTTGAAAAAAAGAGTTATAAACTAAAATTTTGATACAAGCGATTAGAGGAGAAGAGATGATCCACTAAACTAAAAAGATAAAATATACTAAATTACGTAAACAAATTATAATAATTTCGGCAAAGCATTCTTATGTTTTTAGCAAAACCTATGTAAGAGAGAACGAAAATTCATTTAGTAGAAAAATTTAAATTATTGAAGTAGAGTTAATTAAATAAATTTTATTCGACCTAAACAAAAAATATAAATAGAAGTATGAAAAACAAGACAAATAGAAAACATAAGCAAATTAACTGAACAATGGACGTTTAACAGCAGGGTAAAATATATTAGTTTGTTGCTTTAATGGAGGCTTGAACCTGTGACCGTGGTTCTTAATTGAACCCTCTTTACGGCTGATCCGCAGCCTTTGTTTGGGTGAAGCCGGTTCAACGAATCAGAGTACTTAAATCTTATGTTCTAGAGCTCTCTTATAAACCCTTCAATGGTGATATTTTTTTTTTAATTTTTTGAACACCAGTGTTATTCTTCCCATTTTAAGCTCCAATATTTGTTTTGCTACTTCATTTCTGTAAGAATCAAGCAAGAAATTTCAGGTTCTTGAGTCATTTTCCAACTTCGAATTTTCAAGTTCATTTTTCACTCAAATCAGTGTTTGATTCACGATTTTAAGCTCAAAACAGCCACACTTCAACAAATCGAATTGGGTTTCAAAAATTTCAGCACCCAAAGAACATAGTGGGTTTCAAAAATTTCACCACAAATTCTTCAAATGAGAAGAAGAATTTGATTTTTAGCTCTAATAACAACTCCAAACAAGTTTTTTTTGAAGCAGAAAAAATTAATACATCACCATCATTGTAATCTTTGAAGTTTGGTATGAAAATTAAATTGTGAGATTTAGGATTTGTGGTGTTTTGAAGTGTGAGAACTGATTGACAATGACTCATTGAGCTTGAAACAGAACTATATCTATTGCTTGTTGAGTTTGGCTGGTTATATTTCAAGAATACCATTGTTGACATATTGAAGGACTTGAATGGAAAAGAAGACGAAATTTTTATTTTGGTGAAGGTGACGTCTGCAATGGAAAGGTAAAGGAAAAGAATCGGGAAAAATTGAAAAGGGTTGGGAGTAGGTGGGTGGGGCGGAAGGTAGGAAATAATTGTACGACGAAATGAAAATTTCCTGGTCAAATAGTCAAATGAAAAAAGAAATAAATACTAGGCTGAACAGATTTAAGTGGCTTATTTATCTTAGAAAATATTATAAATAAAAGGTGGCATGAACTCTTATGTGGCATTTTAGTTAAGAGGTCAGGTGCCATTATAGATAACCGTTAGGGATGAGCGCAAATTTATTTACTTCTTTAACTCTTTAATTTATAAAGAAAGTATAACGGGAATAAATATTGACTATTTAAAATAGTACAAGGAAAAATCTGAACCTTTTCCCTTCTTTAATCTAGTACGTGAAAATTATAAATTATCAATCATACAATCAGAAGATCAATTTTATATAGGACCTTATAGTATTTGAAACAACAATCTTATATATAGTTCGAATTGAGCATCAGTCTTGCAAGGAAAGAAGCCGTGTGACACACACAACCTTATAAGGAAAGAACCAAAAAAATATATAGAGAAAGAAAAAAGATATTAATCAAACACATAAATTCATGCTTTTTTTTTTTTTTTGGTAAATAATTTTTGGAAAGAGAAAGATTAAAATATATGGAAAGACATTCTTAGTCTAAGAAGAGAACAAAAAGGTAAAACAAGCAACATATGATTCAAGAAAGAAAGGAAATATTCAATGAAGTAGGTAAGATATCTAGATAAACATCCAAGAAAATGTTGGCCTTCGGAAATGCCTAAGAAGCCAGTAATCCCTGACTAAGGGGCAGTGGGTTCTGTGTTAATTTGTAGAAATTAATTAATTTTTGAAGCTTCTTTTTTTTTTAAAAAAAAAAGACTGAGCATCAACTAGATCACCAAATAACGATGGTAGTGATCAACAGCAACATCTCCATTGCTTCCTTCCTTAATATGACCTGCAACAAGACAAAAATAATAAATTACATGAATTCCTTTTTCTCTATTTGTGGGGTGTGCGGGGAGCTGGTGACTGGTGGCAGGTGCTGCTTGATTTGGTAGCCTAAAAACACAGTAAATGTTGCAAACATTGAAAGAAATTGGCATTTTGAAAGCTCACCAGCTTCATGGGTAAAAACGTCCCAGTTGCTGAGGCCTTTCCCATCACTCAGATAAGCTCCTTCATACTGCGGACAAAAAAAGAAGAGCGGTTAAAACAAGAATATCGGGGAAAAAGGGAAAGAACTGTGAGAAGAACCTGGTAATATGAAGAGGCCGTTCCAAACAAGAAATTGCTTGACAATGTAACTTGGTTTGAGTTTTCTTGGAGAATAAGCTTATCTGTTTGATGACATGACACCATGAAACCAGAAAAGAAGATACAAATTGCTAAGCATGTATGCCAAAACACTGCAGGTTCCATGTTAGGAAGTCAAAAGTACACGGCTAATTTTTTCAGTAGAAATGACGAGAAGATAATTACTTTTATTGCTTGTACTTAACTTTTAATGTCAGAGAGAAAAGGTTAGAAGAAAAAGCCACATCTCACATGTTTAAGTAGAAATAATGTTGAGAAAATGGCCAGAAATATCTCAGCTATACTCAAGACTTAAACTACATCCTTGTACTATCACAATGACCAAAAGACATACCTAAACTGTCCCAAAAATGAGAAATTACATCCTTCCGTTAGTTTTCTGTTAAGAAATAACGAGTTCAACCAGAACCACAAGACTATGTTGGTATCATTTATAATACAAAGTCAAAAATTTCTTTTTGAAAATTCATTTACAACCAATAGTCATAGATCTTTTTATTTTTCAAGTGTTCTATCTATTTCCAAGTGACTTCTTGCATGAAGCCTTAAAAGTGGTGAATGGCTTTGACAAATGGCTATGCAAATGTATCATGTGTCTTCATGCATGGAAGACTAGGTACATATGTTAATATCGAAGCCAAGTGGATTAATATATTTGGACAAGTGATAAAAGGCTCTCCACACTTATCATATGTGCAACCTCCCGAATTGCCTATAAATAGGATGATCATTAGCCATCATATTCACTCAATTCTTAACTAATAATTCATCTTCCTAATCATTATTTTCTTTCTACAATATTTTAATTTCTGTAACAGCTACAGAAAATACCTTCATCTTCTCTTCTTTCTGGGCAACTGTTTTGTGCAAGTTCTAAACTTCCAGCCACGAGTGCACGTCTTTGGAGGTAATGTGAAACCTTAGGGAGCGGCCGGTCTTAACGATTTGCACCCAATCGGGCCGAAATCGGTTTCAAGGCAGTGGCTTGCCACGACACAGTATTTTTTATAAGTTGTTCTTCCTTTCTTGTGCTTAGTCAATATTATCTACTCATTTTTCTTACAATTTGAAAGCAATTTTACATATAATATTGACTAATGAACACCACTTTGAACAAAACACTTCCTGATCTCTCAAAGCTTGAGCCTTTAGATGGAAACAATTATAAGCGTTGGTCCCATAAACTGTTAATTTTCTTTGAACAATTAAAAGTTGATTATATTTTATTTAACGATCCTCCTGCTGATATTGTTGCTGATAATTCTAATTCTGCTAATATTGTTATTACTGATGATGCTGCTAAGAAGAAATGTAAAAAAGATAATAAAATTGTGATAGGGCATTTGCTTAACCATATGACTAACCCTCTCTTTGATTTGTTTATAAATATAAATTTGCTAAAGTTGTATGGGACAGTTTGGAGAAGAAATATGGTGCTGATGACGCGGGAAAAAAAAGTATATCATTGGAAAGTGGATCAAGTTTCAGATGGTTGATGATAAGCTAATCATGGAACAAGTTCATGAGTATGAGAACTTGACTGCTGATGTTTTGAACGAGGGGATGGAGATGTCTGAGATTCTTCAGGCTAATGTTCTGCTTGAAAAGTTTCCACCTTCCTGGAGTGATTACAGGAAACAACCGAAACACAAAAGGAAAAACTTTACTCTTCAAGAACTGATCAGTCACATGAGGATTAAGGAAGCAAACCGTCTCAAAGATGAGGAGTCTGAACGACTTAAAGATAAGATAAAATCTCTCTCTCTTAATTCTTCTAAAGCTAACCTTGTGGAATCTTCTTGTACTTTTGTGAAAGATAGGTTTAAAGGAAAACAGAAGAAAGGACATATGAAGAAACAAAATTACTTCAATAAGCCGGAGGGCCATATTCAAAAGTCGAAAGGACCTTGCTATGTGTGCGGTAAAATTGGTCACAAGGCTTTTCAGTGCACCCAAAGACAAGGACAAAGCTCAAAGATTGGAGAAAAAGCTCCAGTCCAAGCTAACCTTAATGAGGGTGGTGGTGTCATTACTGCTGCGGTTGTTGAGGAAAACATGGTGGCTAACAAGACTGACTGGATACTGGACATAGGCGCTTCAAGGCACATTTGCACCAACAACGAGCTGTTTCACTACTTTGAGGAATCTGCTGATGGCGAGTGTGTCTACAAGGGTAACTCCACTACAGCTGGAGTTATGGGTAAAGGAAAAATTCTCCTTCAGTTAACTTCTGGAAAAACCTTAGCCTTGAACAATGTTCTGTATGTACCCTCCATTCGTAGAAACTTAGTTTTTGGTGCGCCTCTCAACAAAGCAGGTATTAAACTTATTTTTGAATCTAATAAAGTTTTTATTTCTCGTAGAGGAGACTTTATTGGGAAGGGTTACCTTAGTGGGGGTTTATTTGTACTGAACATCGCTCAAGAGATTACTAATAATGCTAGTATTTTTAATTCTGCTTATATTGCCGAGTCTATTGATTTGTGGCATAGTAGACTAGGTCATGTTAATATTGCTTCTATTAATGGACTTAGAAAAATGGAATTAATTCCTGCAATTAATGTTGATAATTTTTCTAAGTGTCCAGTTTGTGTAGAAGTAAAACATACCAAAAAAGCCTTTTAAAAATGTATCTAGTAGAAAAACAAAATTGCTTGAACTAGTACATTCAAACTTAGAAGATTTAAAGAACACTGTTAGTAAGGGTGGAAAGAAATACTACATCACCTTTGTAGATGACTTTTCTAGATATACTAAAGTATAAGTCAAAAGATGATGTTGAAAGCATATTTTTGAAATACAAGGCAGAAGTAGAGAATCAATTAGATGGAAAAATCAAGAGGCTTAGGTCTGACAGGGGTGGTGAATATAGTACTAATTCTCTAGAAGCCTTTTGTGAGAATAATGGTATTATACATGAGGTTAGTGCTCCCTATACTCCCCAACAAAATGGTGTAGCCGAACGGAAAAATCGAATCCTTAAGCAAATGATGAATTCTATGCTTTTGAGTTCGAGTTTATGTGATAATATGTGGGGGAAAGCTATTTTATTTGCATGATATGTTCTTAATAAAGTCCCTCATAAGAAGTTAGATAAACCCCCGTATGAGTTATGAAAAAGGTTTGTCCCTAACTTGAAAATTCTAAAAGTGTGGGGGTGTTTGGCTAAGGTTGGTCTACCTGATTTTAAACAAGAAAGACCCAAGACTTTTCATGCTATTTTCATTGGTTATGCTCAAAATAGTGTTGCATATAGATTTATGCCTTTGAATGATAGTTCTATTTGTGAATCTAGAGATACAGAATTTTTTGAGCATGTTTTTCTATTGAAAAATAATGTGACAAGTGTTGTACCTAATAATGCTTCTACATCTATGTCTGTTAATTCTCATTTTGTTCCTTCTTCTAGTGTTACTTCTAATAAGCATAAAAATGAACTTAGAAGAAGTAAGAGGCGTAGAATTGAAGCTAGCTTTGGTCTTGACTTTATTACTACTTTCTTGACTGAAAATATTAATCTTGATATTTTGAGTGATGAATTAGTGTCAATCTATTTAATAAGAGAAGACCCCAAGACACAGTGAAGCAATGAGGTCAATAGATGCTAGTTTTTGAACAGTGGCCATTAAAAATGAATTAGACTCTATAATTTCTAATCACACTTGGGACTTGTTTGATTTGCCGAAAGGTTGTAAACCCATAAGTAGCAAGTGGATATTTAAGAAGAAATTGAGACCTGATGGTACAATTGAGAAATATAAGGCCAGACTTGTTATTAGGGGTTTTAACCAAAAGAATGACATTGATTACTTTGATACTTATTCTCCTGTGACTAAGATAGTAATTATTAGAACTCTTGTTTCTTTATCCGCTATTCATAATATAGTGATACATCAAATGGATGTTAAAACAACTTTCCTAAATGGTGATTTAAAGGAAGAGATCTATATGTCTCAACCTGAGGGATTTGTGATTCAAATACAGGAGAATAAAATATGCAAATTGAAAAAGTCTTTGTATGGTCTAAAGCAGGCACCTAAGCAATGGTACAAAAAGTTTAATAACACATTAGTGGTTAATGATTTTGTTGTTAATGCATCTGATATTTGTGTTTATTTCCAGGTGATATGATCAGATTGTGTTATTATATGTTTGTATGTGGATGACATATTAATCTTTGGCCCTAATGTGAATGTCATTAATGAGACTAAGAATTTTTTGTCTTCTAAATTTGAAATGAAAGATCCTAGAGAAGCAGATGTGATTTTAGGGGTTAGAATCAAAAGAACTTTTGATTGTTTTTCATTGTCTCAGTCTTATTATATTGAGAAAATGTTGAAAAGATTCAATTGTTTTGATGTAGCACCTATGAGAACTCCTTATGATCTTAGCATACACTAAAAGAATAAGGAATCTAGTATTTCTCAAACTGAGTATGCTAAAATAATTGGTAGTGTAATGTTTCTCATAAATTATATACGACCTGATATTGCTTATGTTGTTAGTAGATTGAGTAGATATACTCACAACCCTAGTAGTAAACACTGGATTTCTCTTCATCGTTTGCTAAGGTATTTGAGAGGTACTATGGATTGGTGTTTGAATTTTAATAAATTTGCTGTTGTTTTAGAAGGATTTTGTGATGCAAACTGTGTTACTGACAATGATGAAGTTAGCTCCACTAGTGGCTATGTATTTACTTTGGGTGCAGGCGCTATTTTATGGAAGTCTTCAAAACAGACTTGTATAGCACGATCTACTATGGAGTCTGAATTCATTGCTCTTGAGTTGGTAGGGCAAGAAGCCGAGTGGTTGAGAAACTTATTGGCAGACGTGCCTTTGTGGGGAAGACAAGCTTCACCAGTTTCTCTACATTGTGACTCACAAGCGACAATTGGAATTGCCAACAATAGTGTGTATAATGAAAAAAGAAGATATATCCACATTAGGCATGGTGCGGTAAAACAATTGTTGAAATATGGTGTTATTTTCTTGGAATATGTAAGATCCAAAAGAATTTGGCGGATCCTTTAACCAAGGGTTTGGTAAGGAGAGTTATCCTTGAAACGTCGAGGGGGATGGGGCTAAAGCCCATAGAATGAGGAAGTATGGTGGATACCCGTTTTTGGTCAAACAAAGCCATATAAGACCTCAATATGCACTATATTTTCTATCCCCATGGCGTGTGGTAGTGTTTTATAAGGTTGAGCTTACTTTGATCTTAATGATTTCATAGCCTTAAGGTAGTCTATGTGTAGATAGACTTAATGGAATCACCTACGTGAGTGTAAAGGTACGGTCGCCTTTTATGAAAGACTTGGGATGTCTTTCTAGAGAACTCATGAGACCAAAGTATGTGCATGACCATAAAAGCACTTTGTTAGTATCTCGGAGTTTGCATAAAATTAAAGATATAGTATGTATTGTGAGGGTCTCAACTAATGTCCATTCAGTTCAAGAGTACTTCACTTTGTAGATATTAGTTGTTACCTCATTTCACTATGTGTCAATTCAAATCGAAATATATTGACATTTAAGTACATGTTCCTTATTTTGTCCAGAATTATTCTATTTTTATATTTGCATTAGTGGGGGATTGTTGGTATTATTTATAATGCAAAGTCAATAGTTTCTTTTTGAAAATCCATTTATAATCAATAGCCATGAGACTTTTTATTTTTTAAATGTT